CCATTTATTAGTTCAGGATAACACAAGATTTGAAATACCAGAGCAGGAAGAATGTTATTTCTGCTCTAAAAATAGCTCCCTCAGCCTTTAAAACACTGAAAAGTATACACAGCAGCTACCTTTCTGTGAGAGAGGCTGTCCTCTGCCTTGGCAGTGCCGCCACCGCAGAGATGCGCCACTTCGGTAAGGGCTCAAGTGGACCTGCTGGTGCTGCACTTGCTCTGAGAAGCTGTGGTTTGAGGGGTTTGTAATCCCCATGGGTCAAAGCCATAAAATCTCTTCAGAGCATGAAGGCCAAAGGTGCAGGGTGAAGGAGTGTTACTTGGCTGCTAGTAAGACTGTATATAAAATACCAATAAACTGATGATGTATAACAGCTCGATTCTGGCATTTGGTATGGATTTAGAAAGGTGGCTGCTTGTGTTGGTTTGTAAGTGACAGCACCGGAGCAAAACTGCTGCAGGATAGGGAGGCTCTGCAGAGGAATCTGGACAGGCTGGATTGATGGGCTGTGGTCAGTGGTATGAGGTTCAGCAGGGAAAAAGGCTGAGTCCTGCAATTGGGCCACAACAGCCCCATGCAATGATACATGCTTGGGAAAGAGTGGCTGGAAAGCTGCCCAAGGGAAAAGGACCTGGGGGTGCTGAATGACAAAGCTGAACATGAGCAGCTTGTGTCCAAGCAGCCAAGAAGGGCATGTGGAGGTAGGGAACTATTGGATTTACTGGACTGTGTGGATCAGATGGCCTGGCACATCAGTCCCACAGAAGTATAAGGCTCTAGTAGATACCAGTGCACAGTGTACCCTGATGCCATCAAGCTGTCAAGGGGTGGAACCTATTTATATTTCTGGAGTGACATGAGGATCCCAAGAGTTGACTGTGCTGGAGGCTGAAATCAGCCTTACTGGGAGGAAATGGCAAAAGCACCCCATTGTGACTGGTCCAGAGGCTCCATGCATCCTTGGCATAGACTACCTCAGGAGAGGGTACTTCAAAGACCCAAAAGGGTACCGATGGGCTTTTGGTATTGCTGCTTTGGAGAGAGAGGAAATTGAGCAGCTGTCCACCTTGCCTGGTCTCTCAAAGGATCCTTCTGTTGTGGGGTTGCTGAAGGTCAAAGAACAACAAGTGCCAATCATCACCACAACAGTGCACCGGCGGCAATATCTCACCAACCGAGACTCCCTGATTCCCATCCATCAGCTGATCCATAGACTGGAGAGTCAGGGAGTGATTAGCAGGACCCGCTCACCCTTTAATAGCCCCATATGGCCAGTGTGAAAGTCTAATGGAGAGTGGAGACTAACAGTAGACTATCGTGGCCTGAATGAAGTCACACCACCATTGAGTGCTGCCGTACCGGACATGCTAGAACTTCAGTATGAACTAGAGTCAAAGGCAGCCAAGTGGTATGCCATGATTGATATTGCCAATGCATTTTTCTCATTTCCTTTGGCAGCAGAGGCAGGCCACAGTTTGCTTTTACTTGGAGGGGTGTCCAGTTCACTTGGAACTGACTGCCCCAGGGGTGGAAACACAGCCCTACCATCTGCCATGGACTGATCCAGACTGCACTGGAATAGGGGCAAGCTCCAGAACCCTTGCAATACATTGCTGACATTATCATGTGGGGTGATACAGTGGAAGAATTCTTTGAGAAAGGGAGGAAAATAATCCAGATCCTGCTGAAAGCTGGTTTTGCCATAAAACGGAGTAAGGTCAAGGGACCTGCACAGGAGATTCAATTTTTGGGAATAAAATGGCAAGATGGACGTAGACAGATCCCCACAGATGTGATCAATAAGATGACAGCAATGTCTCCACCAACTAATAAGAAAGAAACGCAAGCTTTCTTGGGTGCAGTGGGGTTCTGGAGAATGCACATCCCAAATTACAGTTTGATTGTAAGCCCTCTCTATCATGTGACCCGGAAGAAGAATGATTTTTAAATGAGGCCCTGAGCAACAACAAGCCTTTGAGCAAATTAAACGTGAGATAGTTCACGCAGTAGCCCTTGGACCAGTCCGGACTGGGCCAGATGTAAAAAATGGGCTCTACACCACAACCAGGGAGAACGGTCCTACCTGGAGCCTCTGGCAGAAAGCTCCAGGGGAGACTTGAGGTCGACCCCTCGGCTTTTGGAGTCAGGGATACAAAGGATCTGAGGCCAGCTATACCCCAACTGAGAAAGAGATACTGGCAGCCTATGAAGGGGTTCGAGCTGCTTCAGAAGTGATTGACACTGAAGCACAGCTCCTCTTGGCACCCCGGTTGCCCGTGCTGGGCTGGATGTTCAAAGGCAGGGTCTCCTCTACGCATCATGCAACTGATGCTACATGGAGTAAATGGGCTGCACTAATTAGACAGTGAGCTTGAATAGGAAATCCCAGTCGTCCAGGAATTCTGGAAGTCATCATGGACTGGCCAGAGGGCAAAGATTTCGGAATGTCACCAAAGGAGGAGGTGATGCGTGCTGAAGAGGCCCCACCACATAATAAACTGTCAGAAAGTGAAAAGCAGTATGCCTTGTTTACTGATGGCTCTTGCCGTATTGTGGGAAAGCATCGGAGATGGAAGGCAGCTGTATGGAGTCCTCGATGACAAGTTGCAGAAACTGCTGACGGAGAGGGTGAATCAAGTCAGTTTGCCGAGGTGAAAGCCATCCAGCTGGCCCTGGACATTGCTGAATGAGAAAAGTGGCCAGTACTTTTTCTCTATACTGACTCATGGATGGTGGCAAATGCCCTGTGGGGGTGGTTGCAGCAATGGAAGCAGAGCAACTGGCAACGCAGAGGTAAACCCATCTGGGCTGCTGCACTGTGGAAAGATACCGCTGCCAGGGTGCAGAACCTGGTGGTGAAGGTACACCATGTAGCTGCTCATGTATCCAAGACTCGGGCCACTGAAGAACATCAGAACAACCAACAAGTGAATAAAGCTGCTAAGATTGAAGTGGCTCAGATTGGCAACATAAGGGTGAATTATTTTTGGCCCGGTGGGCCCATGACACTTCAGGCCATCAGGGCAGAGATGCAACATACAGATGGGCTTGTAATCAAGGGGTGGACTTAACAATGGACACTGTTGCCCAGGTTATTCATGAGTGTGAAACATGTGCTGCAATTAAACAAGCTAAATGGTTAAAGCCTCTCTGGTACGGAGGATGATGGCTGAAGTACAAATATGGGGAGGCCTGGCAGATTGACCGTATCACACTCTCGCACCTGCTCTGAAAGACTGTTACAAGATATGGAGCCCGACATCATGGACCAGATGAACTCAGCAGCGTTATAGGGATTGGTCCATGCACTAAGGAATGATCTCTCTCTGTGTGGATGCATGTATATATATATATGTATATATATATATATATATATATGCATATATATAAGACAAGAGTGAGGGTATATTGAAAAATGTGGGATCTGAGCATGACATGAATGGTATGGAATAAGGGGTGGATACTGTCCTGGGTTCAGCAGTAGCAGTCATTTTTCTTCTTCTTAGTAGCTGGGGCAGTGCTGTGGTTTTGACTTTCAGCCTGGGAACAGCACTGATAACACCGATGTTTTTAGTTGTTGCCAAGTAATGTTTAGTCTGACCAAGGACTTTGTGAGTCTCATGCTCTGACAGGGAGGAGGGGAAGGTGGGAGGAAGCAAAGACAGGATGCCTGACCCAGACTAGCCAAAGAGGTATTCCATACCACAGCACATCATACCCAGTATTATAAACTGGGGGGGAGTTACCCAGAAGGGCTAGATCGCTGCTCGGGTCAGGCTGGGTATCAGTCGGCAGGTGGTGTGTGGTTGTATTCTCTTCCCTTGTTATTCCCCTTATCATTATTATTATTGGCGGTAGCAGCAGTGGTTTATATTATACCTTAGTTACTGCACTGTTCTTATCTCAACCTGTGGGAGTTACATTCTTTCGATTCTCCTCCCCAGTCCTTCCTACTGAGTGAGGGGAGGAAGGCTGGGGGAATGAGGGAGCGGATGCATGGTTCTTAGTTACCGGCTGGGCTTAAACCACAAGAAGCATGTACCTCTTTGAAGGGCCAGTTATTCTTCTTTCATCATGCACATGACAGAAATTGGCTTAAGGAAGTTCAAGTAATAGCAGTATAAAAGAAGAAGAGAAAAATAAAGGATCTAAAGTATGATAAAGATCAACAGGAAGATGTGTATCTAAGTGCCTTTAAAGTACACTCACTGCAGTTCTTCAGCTAGGAAACTGCACAAATGAAATGATGGGAGCACCAATAAAATCAGGCATTTTTACATATTCCCAGCTTCATCCTACATTCAAACATCAAGTCCAAAGCCATCACCTGAATCGATTTTTTCCCTCTCCAACTTCCCATCAACCATGCAAAGAAGGAAGCAACTGTGCTATTTTTGTAACCAGGAGGTTAGAAAAGTCCCAGCTCTGGGAGCTGTGTCCAGCCCCTCCTGCAGGCACTGTAGGAGATGGTGGGGAAATGTCTCCTGCTTGCCTGTGTGTGTGTCTGTCAAATGGCCCTGGCTCCAGATGAATTCACAACAAGACACTTGTGGCACACCCAGGTTTTCAAGCACATCTCAGCAGAAACAGGGACAAAAGCCCAGAAAAACCTAAACAAAACGCTTCATTTTTATTGCCAAAGCACCGTCCTGCAGCCACACTGAGCTGATATTTTGCTACTGAAGTGGGATTTTCATATGTAAGAAGTTGCCATAGTCTCTTTTCAACCTTATGTCAGCTTGAAGTTTCTTTCCCCGCCACTACCAGCTTGGCTGCTAAGCCCAAACTAATCAAATGTCTTGGTGCCCTTCTGTTTGACAACACTCCTCTTTCACTAATGAGGAAACCAGAAACGCCAAGGGGGTGTGTGTTTGGGAAAGGCTGCAGCAAATGAATAGCTGGAAATGCCAAGTGAAACAATTCTGTAATTCTGACGTGTGGTGCACAAAGCCCTTTCGCTTTGTGAGACATCTCCAAATAAATCACAGAGGCCAGGGTAAGTCATAACTGTTTATTGTAAATCACTCAAGAGTTTACACATCATTAATGGCAAAGTAACACTGTTAAAACACCTGCTGGATGAAATACAGACTAAAGACAACTCTTCCATATTATATGGCATCATTTAAAAAACAAGAAACAGAACAGAAAAGAAATCATTTTAGGTTTGTTTTTTTTCTTCCTCCAGTTCTACATCTTTCCTGAAAATATCCAGGCCTGAGTCTCAGTTATCTCGACATCCCTGCCTTGCCCAGGGCATGGGGCTGTGCAGCTGGGACACAGGCACTCCCTCCCCAGGGGGCAAGGCAGTGACCTTCTTTATAAATGAAAATCATGCCCTCTATCTTCAAAAGTGCTCCAGCAGTCCAGTGCTGACAGTACAAAGCCTCTCTCCTGCACTGGCTAACATCTAACACAAAGGGCTACAAGTCCCATTAATTCCACATGCCTTTTTTTTTTTCTTTTTTTTTCTATATTTTTTCCTTTTTTTTCCCCTTTTTTATTTTGTTTGTCAAACAAGGCAACTGTTAAAATCCAGAAGCTACATAACTGTCTTTATATTTTGCTCAGAAATCAATGGATGTTGCATGCAGCTGAAATATTAGTAGAGACGAAGACTTAGATAAAGGTCAGTCTTCTAAGACGCGCTAGTCAAAGGCAGAAAAAGAAATGAAGAGGCCTCTTGTGCAAAAGGAGCTAAAATATGCATGCATCGATGGCCATGACCGATTAGAATATAACTTAGGTCTCCCAGCATTGAAACTGAAGCTTTATTTGGCTTAAGACATGGTTCAGCTCTATACCTTTACAAATTACAATGCATATGCAACAACAAAGGAATCATCTCAACATAGCGTCAGTCGGTATTTTGGCCTGTATAGACTAATCTTCAACACAAAAGCCTGCTCAGCAATAAATGGGTTTCATATTTAGCAAAGACAGCAGCGCACTGGGCTGGCTAACAGGGCTAACAGAAAGAAGAAAGCAGGTTTTCCAACTAACATCTAACTAAATTTAGGCTGATTTTTCCCCTTGGACATCCTGTTTTTCATTGGTGCTGTTACTGTCTTTTCCATCAGTCTGTAGCTGAAACAGCACATTGGGCCCTGATCCATTCCCTCCAAGAGATGCATCTCAAAAGCTTATCTGATTAATAGTAGAAACAAAAATCTCCCTTAGGTGCACTTGGAAAGGAAAGTTAGTTCCTCCACCAGGCCAATGTTTACCATGAACAAGCAAATTACAAGGTATTTCAGACCTGAACTACAGTGACTAAAATCAAATCTCTCTCCTGTTTAACTATAATATTAAATAATATATAACATTTTTACACTTAATAGCCTGAAGTTTGGACATAAGACAGTTAATAAGGAAAAAAAGCTGGGGCTGAATCTATCCTTGGGGAATTAATTCAGCCCAACTGAAACGAACTAATTTTACCCAGAGGAAAACAAATCCACCACAGGCACAGGGATGCACACACCCCAACCAACATGTATGACAGTGCTGGCACAGCGAAGCATTGCTTTTCAAGCACTGCCATCTCCAGTCCTTTCCTTACGAGCCTGGATCATCTCCTTCGGAGCCTGCTTGCGGTCAGTGACCAACCCCAACCAAAACATGAAGTCAATAAACCAGGTGGTGGGGTTGAACTTCAGGCCCAACTCACTGGCTGAGTAGTCGAATGGGAAGGTGTGGTGGTAATTGTGGAAACCCTCACCTGAAAAACAGAGAGGGAGTTTAAAGACCACATCGCTGGGACATTTATGAGATTAGGAAGATGCCCCAGTGGGACATCCCAATGCCTGTTTCCCAAGTCCTGAATCCACTGCAGGTTATGTTCCACCTCTGGCTATGGGAGAGCTCTGGTGCAGACCCGCACCAGACTATTTCAGTGCTTTGGGCTTTCCTCCTCAGAAGGAAGGGGGATGTCCCACCCCTTACACTCAAGGAAGAAAGCCGTAAGTGCTTCAAGAGGGGCAACCACAACTGAGTAAGAAGCAGAGTCACTGCTGCTCTGCTGTCCCCAGCTGACTGCTGAGAAGAGAGGACTGCTACTGTGAATCTTTGCCCAGAGATTTCCTTGTATGTGGGCACATTACTTCAATGTATGTGGGCATCATCAGTAGAAACAAGGGCACCTTCCTCTAGGATGTGCAAGCTCCAGCCTCCTCCAAGCTCTGGCTCCAAGAGGTGTTCAGCTGCAGATGGCCAAAGGCCCAGGCAGGGTGAAACAGGACGGGGTGTCACTTAGTTCACATGCAGGGCTGCAGCACTTACCAATAGCTCCCAGAGTGACAAAGGTGTTCTGCCTGGGGTTGATGTACTTGTCGTAAGGGCGGTTGCCATACATGTGGGCAGCACTGTTGACCAGCCAGGTGACGTTGAGGGAGATGGTGTAGCGGAGGATGGAGGCAAGGAAGTAGGCATTCCACAGACTCTCGCCCCAGAGGTACCATGGTACAAAGGTAGGGATCACAAAACACATCAGCACAACTGAACTCTTGTAATACCTGTGTGGAAGGAAAAGGACACCATTACTGTGGTGGGAATGACAGCTGGGGTGAAGTAGGATTGAATCTCTGGAGATACGGCTCTGCCTGAAACCCCTGGCATAACCTGGACTGGCCCCATAGTTTGGGCAGCAAGGAACATTTCAGACATCCACAGTCATGACATAATTTTTCTAAGAGCAAATCAAAATACCAAGACAACCCAAACCCCTGAAACGACCCAAAATACTGGAGCTGAACAGCTGAGACCCAGTCCGAGAGCAAGCCTCCCACGTTGAGTACCTTTAAACCTGGGGAAGCACACAGCTGGCTTCACAGTCTGTGCCTGGAGTCCAGATCTGCGGCTGGGAAAGCCCAGGGCTTAGAGTGGCATCAGCAGAGCTGTGTCAGAAACACAGTCACTGCTAAAAGTCCACAAAGACTTAGTCTGTGCTCAGATCATATGGGAACCTGCAGCACAGCACAGCAGCGGCTCCTTTCTATACCCCTGCTGCTGCGTGAGCCCCAACAGCAGCAGTACATCCAAAGCAGGTGCCAAAGCAGCCACAGGGACCCCACCAAAGGTGAGGAGAAAGATCCATCTTGGCCTGGGCCCAGGTTATTGCTGCTTTCCTGGCCCAATGGCTGGCACAAGCCCTGTCACTCCTGCATGTGTTGGACAAAGCAATCAGTGTGCAGTGCAAAATGGGGACTGAGGAAGCTGAACAGTCTGAGTACAAAGAGGGAAGCTTTATAGTACAGCTAAAGCCATATGCCTAGGCTAGGCAGGGAAGAGAGTAAAGGATGCAGGGAACACAGAGGTGAAGATTAGAGATCATAGCAGGAGACACAAAGTAAAATCATGCCGGGGGAAAATTCAAGGCAAGTGGAGAAAGGGAGTATTAGCTCAGCATAAAGTGAGGAGGCAAAGCCAAAAGCAAGATAGGAAATAAATAACTCTAAATGGAGAAAGGGCTAACACTGCTCAGAAGCAGAGTGCGGTGAGACAGCACAGCTTGGGAGCCACTTACAGGGTGCCCCAGCTCAAGAAGAAATAAGGCCTTGTCTTCCCACTGAGCCCTTCCACCTCCCTGGAGCCCAGATTTACTACAGCCCACAGTGATCCCAGGGTATCATCATCAAAGCAAGCTGCCACATAAAACTGGAGCAGCAGGCTGAGGTGACAGATTTTGAATGGTACAGAAAGAAAAGAAACACCAAGACCCATCTTAGTTGTGCCCATATGACAGGTTTAAAATAGACCCCTGCTTTTGTTGAGTATTCTGGAAGGGATGAAGAAGAACAGAATTTGGATTTATTAAATAGTTATTAAAAATTTCCATTTGCTGCAAGTTTTTCAGATAGGAAGAACTGTCAGTTTGGTTTGACAAAAACAAAGAAACAGTTTTCAATTAAAACCCACAGAAGATTGGAAAAATGTTAATATTAGCAGTATTTCTGGAAGGAAGTCAGTTTCCATGAGCACAGTTCTCATCTATAACACACCAGCTAGTTTTCATCATCTTTTATATGAAGTAAATTAAGCTCTTGCCCTGCAAGCTCTTTGTTTCATTCTTTTGGTTGGTTGTTTTGTTATTGTTTGGAGATTGTGCCTCACATGCTGGGCTCCAAAAGGAGATCTGCAGCTCTCCAGCAACACCAGCCATGGTGAAAAGACAGCGTCTCCTGAGCTCTCTCACAGAGCTCGATGTTCATTTACCTGAGCTCTCCATAGGAAACACTCCCCATTCTTCACTCCCACAAAGACAACAGATTTTCTCACTCATCTGACTGACTTTTGGCCAAGGCTGTGGATAAAGTTTGCAAACCTCATCAACTCAAGGCCAGGATTTAAGTCAAGCTAGAGGAGAAAAGTATTTCCCAGTCCAGAAAACTCCTTCAAAGCCTCTCCCATTCCAGGAAAATGTATTTACAATATGAAAACAGCTTATCAGGCACCAATTAAAACCATTCTGTGACATGAAACAAGCTCAGACTGAAGTCTTTGATGAAGACGTGAAATCTCACATTGGAATGAGCACTCAGCAACCTTTTCTTGGTCTCCCTTTGAAATATTCACCCTGGAATAAGAAACCTCCTTTACCTGGGGTTCCAGGGAAACAATGCCTCAATACACGCTTGAGGAATGTGTATTGGGGAACACTGCACTCACCATGTGAAAACTTTGTCATGAAGACATTTCACCTGTAAGCCTCTCTTTCACATCACATGCAGGATTATTGCTCTGTTATTCACAGAGGGTAAATTTTGGTGTCAGTCATGCCTGGAGCAGTACTGTGATTTGAGCTGAAGTGATGTGGTTTTAAACTCACTGGGTGGTACCTCATCCACAGTTCACCAGAATCATTAAATTCAGCGAAATGAACAATCTATCCTTAAAACAAAATGTGACAAAGGTTTAGTATGATTCTTACTGACCTGCCAGATTTTCCATGCTATAAAAAAGAACCCAAACAACCAAAACCAAACAACACTTAAACCTTACAGAAAAGAGAAACCTGAATTTTTCTTCCCAGATAAAAGAAGGTAAACTTCAAAGTCCTAAATTCAAATCCAGAGATGAGACATTTGCTAAGGCATGACTTCCCTGAAGAAAACATGCTTCTTCACTACACAGCATCTGCAGCATAACCAAAGCAGTAGAGCCTGCTTCTTGTGGGATGCTGTTATCTTGGTAAAGATAACAATGCGACCAAGAGGAGCTGCAGCAAACTGCAAGGGAGCCTTTGCAAACAAGCTGAACTAGTAAAAGCAACAATATGTGGAGAGCAGTGATTTCCTCACTCCTGGAGCATTTTCAGTGTAGGGTAATTCTGTGCATGGATTTCTCTAATGCAAAAAGAAACAGATTTCTGAGCTCAACTAACTGCTCCCCTCACCCATAAAACACTCAGAAGTAACCTCATGTTGTTTCCCGAAGTACCTTGCTTGCAGGCCAAGACAGTCTTCTTGTGCCTAAAATACAGGGACTCACACAGAGGACAAAGCATGTTTCAATTCGCTACTCTTGCAGAGTGTGCAGCAAATTGAACCACCTCTGTGCTAATTCTCGAGGCAGATAATTAATCCTGTGGAATGACAGTTTTGGGAGAGGAAGTGCTTGGTGTGCACTGGCCCACAGCTGCCAAAGATGAGTCTGCAGACTGAAATGTGCACTTCTGCTTTAAGGCAGTTACTGATTACAGCATTCGTTCTAGTGATCAAAGGGGAAAGACAAGATCCCAGCAACTTCGGCTGTGGCTGTTTTCACCAGCAGCCCTGGCTTTCTGGAAAAGCAGAGGGACAAAGATGGGGCTCACTGCCTGTGCAGTGGAGCCTGCAAGGACAGTCAGCAAGCATCAGCCATAGCAGTCAATAGCTGCGGCTAAAGGCACGGAAGTCCTAATGCCTGCAATAAAGGTGGCAGGGATATCTTGGGGGAGAACAGGGAAAGATAAAAGTAAGGAATGAGCCACAACTAGACAACCTCACTTGAGGGCCCAGCACTCCCACTTACTTTCTTTGGAACCTAACGACAGGGTCATCCAGTAGATCAGTGAAATCCAGTTTCCTCCCCTTCTCTATGACATCCCGGTGCTTGCGCACGAACAGCCAGCCAATGTGGGAGAAGAAGAAACCACGCCGGGCGTTGTGCGGGTCTGCATCCGTCTCCGAGTACTTGTGGTGCACACGGTGGTCTCGGCTCCACTCGTAGATGTCATTCTGCATGGCAGGGTGAGAGTGTAGAGGCTGGGTGCTGTTCTAGCACACCACCTCCAGCTCCTTCCCCACACAGTAACAGCAACAAGCCCCTGTCTGATGCTACTCTAAAAATGTCACTGACTAAAGATATCCTAGGTGACCCCAGCTTTGCAGCCAGCCAGCCCATCACACTGCTCCTGTCAGTGCCCACACAGAGTGGAACCTGCTCTGGGAACTGGTGACACAGATGGGACACATCCCAGGACTGGAAGCCAATGGCCTCTTGGGAGTTACCATCATCAGTCTGCTCTGGTCCTGCATTCTCCCTGGATGTTCATTGTCTAAGGATGGGCACTGGGCTGGAGGGACCAGGTACATACATGTTTACATTATTATTTTAAGATCTTGCCACATGCAGCTTGCATGCTTATTTTCAGGGCACTACTGTGCAGGGCCACCCAGTTCTGGCATCCTTTTTCTAAGCTGGTTGTGGCTGGTTACTACTGACACCCTCTAGGCACAAAAGCAGTGCTGAAAGCAGGACAGAGGTTGTGGAATGCTACATGTGCCTTTCCTGACCTGAAGAGGAAGGAGCTGAACTTGCTCAGCCTTTGGAGGGATTCATCTTCCACAACAAAACCAACACCTCCACTTAAATTACTGCTCTGTCTGCAGGGACGTATGCAAGAGCACAACCTTCCAGTACTTAAAACGGAGCCCATAGGAACCATGCGGAGAGTTCTTTGTCAGGGAGTGTAGTGATAAGATGAGGGATAACGGTTTTAAACTGAGAGAGGGAAGATTTAGATTAGGTATTAGGCAGAAATTCTTCCCTGTGAGGGTGGTGAGGCACTGGCACAGGTTGCCCAGAGAAGCTGTAGCTGCCCCATCCCTGGCAGTGTTCAAGGCCAGGTTGGATGGGGCTTGGAGCAACCTGGTTGGACTCAGATGGTCTTTAAGGTCCCTTCCAACCCAAAGCATTCAACGATTAAGATACCAAGTGAGATATGCTTGATTTATGGGAAATCAAGTCCTGCATTTGCAGCCAGTGTGGAATAAAAGTCTCACACCCGTAACATCAGCTCAGCATTGGATCCAGAGCAGATACGAGGCAAATTCAGTCCTGTCTCTGCTCAAGCTGTCAGCAACCGTGGGTCACTGAAATGCCCTATAGCTGTAAATGGGATTATGTATATTGCAGTTTCACACTTGGACCCATGAAGTGAGAGTTCGAGTTTAGTCAGCTGAAGGGATTTCAGCTTCCCAGTTTGCTCTGCAGGATACACTGGCTATTGGACTGAACTGGTGGGTTTTACAGTGCTGCCCAGCTGTTAGTGCAGGGCACTGTAAGCATGGACAGCAGTTGCAAAACTCAGGTCACACTCTCATCTATGAACTGAATTGTCCAATACCGCACCAAAACAGCAAAATGTTAGTTAATGCCCAGATCCACAACAGTGTGAACTTTAATCAGAGAATGCTCAGTGGAGTGTGCTTTCCTATGCTATTTCCATCTTGGCACAGCCATGGACTTACCCAAGCAGTAATACCCAAAGGAATGCCTTGGGTTACTTTTAGGAATGGCAGTAGCACCCACAACACCCAACTGCTTTGACCCCAGCAGAGCTGAGCAAACCATTTGTGGTGCCTGTGAAGTTAAGTGCAGCACAGCAGCCACGATGGTGCTGCAGGACACTGTAAGCCCAGGCTAATGACAACTGTGTGTATTTTGTCGGACAAAAGCCCTGTGCTGAAAGCATCGCAGAAATTATTGCTGCCAACACTGAGAGAAAGCACTGAGGCCACCTGTGCTGCTGAGGGGACCCCAGGAACAGCTATAAAGAGCAGCTAAAGAATTCAGCTCAAATGCCTGTGCCCATTTCAGCCTTGCAAAGATGCTCTGCCTGCAAAAGTCCACAAAGGACAAGCAAAGGACAAAAGCCCATTGCACTCAGTAGTGCTCAGCCTTCTACTGTTGTCATGTCATGGCTGGGAGTGGGCTGGGGATGAGAGGAATGTATTTCTGCAGCACTGACTCATTGAGAGGAAGGCAGCCCCTTACCAGTGCTCTGGTATGTTGTGCCTTAATTGCCCAGTTGCAGAAGAAAACAAAGTAAACTGAGTGAAGCAAAGGAAGTGACCAAACCCCTCAGTGAGATCCCCAAGGGGAGATCTTTACCTTGCTGCCATCTTATTTTTTTCCTGCAGAGATATCAAAGGGAATTAAAGCCTCTGCACTGCTTCAAGTGGCTTCAGTGGGAGTATCCAGAAGACTGGAAAATGCCAAGATTAAGTAATTTGAAAAGAAAGCTGGGTTATGCAAGAGGCACACCTAGGAAAGGTCCTCCTTATTAGCCAGAAATTTCTGGGGGTTTCTTTGAGTGAGACTATCAATCAGTTTGCCACAAGAGCACTTGAATTCTTTGTGGGACAGCAAATAACCAGGTCAAAGCAATGACACTGAGAAATTAACTTGGTCTTTTATACCACAGCATCATGCTGTTGATAGTGATGGAGACATGAGGTTTCATTAGCAGGTCCCTTAATACACCTGCAGACTGTAACATAACAGCAAACTCGGCTATGGAACAACTTTAGTGTGCTGACACAAATTTCCATACAACCACTGATGCTGTGTGCATCACTCACAGCACAACCTCAGCTGAACAACACAGCTGGTTTCAGAGATGGCCAGGAGCAATAGTACAACAGAGTTAGCAGAGGAGACACCAGCACGCCCCAAATGAGATGCTGAAACTTACGTACTAGAAGATCAAGCAGACATAAGCCAGGTATTACTTCTCTGAAGCAAGAAGCAGAGTCTTTCAAAACTGTGAGAGATTTACACTAGATGAAGTAACACAGCTCAGTGTGCTCCAATCATAAAAAATCAGGACAAAAATAGCTGCATCTGGAGGTATTTCAGAGGAAGCACAGCATGCCACAGCCCATGCAGCATCCAGTTAAAACTCCTGAGTAGAGTTTCACCTGCAATTCAAGAAGTCTGAATATTTCCTTAATTTTCAGCATCCAGGGATGCTACAAGTATTCCACTGCTGCCTCTTCCTCCCAGAGTAGGATGGACCTGAAGACTCATTCACTATCTGCTTATGGTGATGAAAACAGCCTTTAACAGACAATGGATGTCATGGTGATTAGGAGCAGGCTTCAGACTATTTAAAACATTGAGTGGGTAATCTAGCCTTTTATTTTCTCTCCACTATGAAGGGCACAAAGGTAGTTTGAAGCTACTTCGAAGTACTTCTGTGCCTCAGAATCACACCAAGTCCTCAGCCAAAAGCAGTGATGAAGCCAGTGCAGCCAAGAGCAAAATCCATAGCAACAGGGGAGCAGAACGCAAAGAAATCCCAATGTGCAGACTCACTGCAATCATTGATTGCTCCACACATTCATTTAAATTACTTATGAAAGATCAGATAGCTGTAAAACAGGAGGACAGAACCAGGGGCTTCTCAAAACAAGTGTCTGACATGCTGAGCAAAGGACTTGTAAAGCTGTGCAAGGAACCGAGCAGCACAAAGCAGCTGAAATATGGCTCAGAATATGGGTCAGAAAGGTACTGTCAAAATGTACACTTTCCCATATTTAAGCAAAGGCGCTGTGATCTTTGCAATGTCTAAAGGGATTAACTAGATCAATTCTTTCCATCTTAAAAGAAAAAAAGGGATGATAAATGAACAGTACAGAAGTGGATCAAAGGACTCTTTTAATCTTCTGTCAAGGTATGTGAACAAGTCAACCAAACAGACGAAGGGAAAAAAATCTGGAAACTCAAGGCACAACATACATGGGCTATTTGGTGCCACAAGGGGCTATAGCAGTCAAGCTTGATAAGTTTAATGTTAGTACAGGTTCATATCTCTAATCTCAGCCAAAGGAGTAACTAAATTCACACCAAGAAGATCCTGGTTCTGGGCTAACTCCTACCACCAGCTGGGTGTTACACAAACATTTTTGAAGTCTAAGACTGCCTATCAGCAAGTCCAGAGCTAGTAACACACTTCTTTGCAAACATATTTGAATTTTACTGGTGAAAAACACTGCATAAAACAGAGATAATTAAGACCGTGGGAGGATGCCTGCTCTCCTTTCTGGGCACATCAAAATCAACTGTCTGGATGGACAAACAGGCTTGATTACACAGACATGTTTTTGTATGAAGTTGGCCCTTATAAAGGTTTCCACGTGGACCTGTGATGTGTGGGCCTGACCTGTGCCACAGATTGATTGCTGAGGCGCTGAGCCCCTGAGTGGATATGTTCAACTTGGTCCTTAAGTAATTATGGCTCCTGGACTGTCCAATGCATACATGGCTGTCTCTACTGCACGGGAGAGAAAGTTGCCTGGAGGCCAAGAATCTGCATGGGTAACCACAACCCCACCTGGAAAGCCATGGAGTTTGCAGCAGCCAGGAAGATCCGCAAAGGCAACTTAGCTTTGTAGGATCGGTGGCTCCACAGGCGATGCGCACCAGCTGTCACGCCCAGGGCTGTCATCAGGAAACAGAAGTATGCTGAAAGACACAAAAAGAAAACACAGGATGTGCCAGAGGACAACAGACATTATTTTTTCTTTTTTTGATGTAAAGGTGATCCTTGCCCCCGCCTGCCAGTACCTGCAGGGTCACTCAGAAGCTAAGGCTGGGTAGACAGGAGGTGATGTTCTCAGCCCACCTTTGCTCACCCAGCCCCACAGACACTTAGTTCCACTTCCCACCCCTCCCCATTTAGCCAGTGCCTTGTTCAGGAGGGTTTGGCAACGCTGAAGCACCATGCTGTGACGTGTTTATACCATCTGCCTTTGCCAAGTACAGTGGTGTGAGAGTTCATTGTTCATGTTAGAAGAGTAGCAACAACTTTCCTAAGAGGGCACTGTCAGCCTCTTCCAGACAGGTCTTTGCTTGAGTCCAATGTGTCAGCTAATTTAACAGCACCATGTCCCACCTCTAAAGATACGAGCTGTGTCACGACTTCCCACAATAAAAAACTTCTCTTATCAGGAGCTCATGATTTGGTAATAAAAAAGCACCAGGAAGCAGGGCATTCACCACCTCCCTTAGTCTCAGGAACTGATTTTCCTTCCCTCAGTTAAAATACTGCCCAAATAAACTTGCTTTGAGCATTTTTCAAATGGCCAACACAGCATGGCAGCACGTCTGTTCCCTACCACATTGCCTCCAGGCTAGACACACAGCCCAAAGACGTGGCCCATGGTGTACCCCCCATGCTGCAAATAATACCTCCACTGACCACCACTGCAGAATTGGTCGATGAGAAACTGACCGTGTGCCAGCAGTGTGTGCTCGCAGCCCAGAAACCAACCGTGTGCTGGGCTGCATCAAAAGTGGTATCAAAGGAGGTGATCCTGCCCCTCTACTCTGCTCTCGTGAGACCTCACCTGGAGTATTGTGTGCAGTTCTGGTGTCCTCAACATCAAAAGGACATGGAACTGTTGGAACAAGTCCAGAGGAGGGCCACGAGGATGATCAGGGGACTGGAGCACCTCCCATATGAAGATAGGCTGAGGAAGTTGGGGCTATTCAGCCTGGAGAAGAGAAGGCTGCGTGGAGACCTCATAGCAGCCTTCCAGTACCTGAAGGGGGCCTATAGGGATGCTGGGGAGGGAACTCTTCATTAGGGACTGTAGTGATAGGACAAGGGGTAACGGGTTAAAAATTAAACAGGGGAAGTTTAGATTAGATATAAGGAAGAAGTTCTTTACTGTGAGGGTGGTGAGGCACTGGGATGGGTTGCCCAGAGCAGTGGTAAACGCTCCACCCCTGGCAGTGTTCAAGGCCAGGCTGGACAGAGCCTTGAGCAACCTGGTCTAGCGTGAGGTGTCCCTGCCCATGGCAGGGTGGTTGGAACTTGATGTTCTTAAGGTCCTTTCCAACCCTGACTAGTCTGTGATTCTAATTGGTATTTCTCTGGTTCTCCTTTAGCAGGCGCATTGCTTACACATGCTTCGGCTGGTTAACCTTGCATTTCCAAGGCAGGGGGAATAAACAGCTGTGGCAGCAGAATGAGACAGTGGACCACCTGCTCTAGCCTTGCATCTGTGCATTGATTGCCTCTCCTTTGACATGCTGGCTGGTTTTATCTCTAGTGACTTTGAATTCCTGTGTGATGGACTATCCACAGCCTGAGTTGTTTTGACTTGCAACCAAAGAGAAAACTATGGCAAACAGCTGGAAGAACAGTGCATTAGAGCTGCTCCAACTTTTGGTGAGAGGCTGATGGGAAAATGGGGACAGCTAGGAAGAAAGTGTTATGTAAGTCCTAATTAAACTGGACCACTTAAAACTACTCACATTCAAGACACCCAGCTGTCATGATATATAGACTCTTAAGTCTCTATTCCATAGGCGTTTATTTCTCATACTGTGCCTAAGGAGAACAGGCTCATTTTACAGGTGTAAAATTAAAACAATAGCAGATTCAAACAATAAGAATATTACAAGACAATCTCAAATGAATTTGCATGGTCTGAAGTGACATGCTGTTTAGCCAGGACTCCCTGCCACCCTACACACACAGGCATGTTTTAGCTAAAGCAGCCTACTTCAAATACACTAATAGAGTTAGTGGAATGAAAAGGGAAAACCCCACCACCAAAAGGGGATTTCTGCTTGTGTTTGCACAAGTCTGTCCACAAGGGAACCCTGTTAAACATGCAGTAGCTAGAAAGGATTTCACAATCAGCTTTTCCCAGAATGTAATGCAAAACATCTGTTAAAAAAACTCATAAAACCAAACCAATCCAAAACCAGTATATGTAGGTGAGTGTCTACTGTGTTCCTCCATCAACTCCCAACTCACACTGCTTGAAATTACAGCATCTAAGGGAAAATAGAATAGAAAACTGTTTGGTAAAATAACAGTAACCATATTTCATGTTGTCAGCCCTGCAGACTGAAGGAGTAAATGGACCTTACCCGCTCCTCTGGTGGATGCATCAAAAACAGATTTACCCAAACTGTTTCACATCATGTACCCGGCCCAACTTTTGTCATACAGCAAACCAAAACCTTTCTTATAAAATGCAACAGACAAATGGAGTCAGAATGGTGTCAGTAAAGATGATGAATTTCTAAAACCCACTTTGGACACCATCACCAAAGATGCAATTCCCCTTTTCAGCAGGCTGCAGTGCTAGAGCTACTCCCAGAAAAGGCTCCTCTCTACAGATATGTCCAGTGCGCTGAAGCCTGTCACCCAATTGGGACTTCTGCCTGCTTCCTGAAGGGAGGTGCAGAAACAAACTGAAATCCATGCATTCTCTCCGCATGTTATTTACAGAGCTTGTTGCATTTCCAGATTACTCTTAAGCAGTAAAAATGCCAAAGCACAACTCACACTCCAGCCTCCACTAGGGTCTTGCAGTTCTTGCACATGCCTTCTCACTGCAAGCACTCAGACTTCTATGAAATAGGGAGAAACTATCCTGTCATTTTTTGTACCTGATGCTGAGCTGTGCAGAAACATCGCTAAATAAGGCATTCCAAATAGCTCAAATGACTGTAATTGTGGGAACAGATCTGTGACACACGGAAACCTGACATTATCCAGCTAACATAAAAGTATTAAGGTTATAGTCCTGAATCATTACTAGAACATATTGTCTGTGGGCTTTATAACTGCTTAACCTCATGGTAGTCACAGGGGCTGAAATCTCTTGTCTTCAGCAGTTTCTTTGCTTCTTTAAAGCACAGAGAGAGGCTTTTCTCCCATTTCAGAGCAATAGATCATTTAATTGAGCAAGTGCTTCTCAAAGCATCCATCCATCTTGATCATGATCAATTGTTTAAAAGCAGAGTTAAAGATTAGTGGATAGAATGAGACACCACAACATTAAGGTTGATTTCACTTTCCTTCTCTGTCCAGTCCAAGAAAAGTGGCTGAACAAGGTAACATACAGACCGCATAGCTGCACTGAATAAAAGGGATTTATGCCACTTGATGATTCAGCTCTTACAGAGCTCAACTTAACAGAGACCCTTTCATTCAGTGCACTCGCCACCACTGCAGTGGAATGGACAAGAGTATTTTGGGAGTCTAATGGGTGCCCCAAGGTCTGCATGCCACCCACCCTGTGTCCATACCTTTGGTCAGCACCTCCCAGCATCACTTCCCTGGGCTCCAAATGGGAGAACGATTTACTTGAAACATTTCTGCAGGAGCCCATCCACCACAAGCAGGCAAGCTCAGCTGTGCTTCAGGACAGGGACTGACTGGTGGAGTGCCCAGCAAAAGGAGAGGGACACCTGTTTCATGCGGGCAGCTGGCACACCAGGCTCTCCCAACAGCCAGGGTCGGAACCAGCCTGCTCTTGCCTGAGCAAGCAGAGGCAGAAAGACAACAGAGAACAAGCACTAGAGTGAAATGGCCTCAGAGCCTCCCAGAAACATGCTGCCCTGATTAAATAGGGCTTTCCCAGGGCTTCCCTGGGCCACAACCACTAGCTCCATCCTCCTGCTCTCTGTAGTCTGCCAGGGCTAGCCCCAGCCACTACAGCAGTGATCAAGCTAAAACGGCTGGGGCTTATACTCATGCAAAATGCCTACTTTCTGGCTTTGCAGAGGAGGAATCATAGGAGCAGGAATTTTTCTAATATAAATCCTGAAGAATGAAACATTCCCAGAAATAAACAAAATTAATCAACAGTTTGGTGACCAGACAAATGCACTGTACACTGATACCAGATTTCTGTGGCTCCTATAGGAATTAGGGTGACTGCAAATATTACCCAGCCAGTAATTCCCAGTGCACAAACAGCAAAGATGACAAGTATCTGCTGTGTAGAGATAGGTCTCAAGGTTTCCTTTGCAGAATAAATTGTGAACTTAAGCCAAAAATCAGACTATCAATCAACCATGTGATTTTACATTAATCATGCACAGCTACTGTAACTGCATGAGAGGAGAGCCGCTACTCACCTACCTGGCTTATTTTGGGGGGGGGTTAAGGAATACATGTGGGAGGTGAGCATCACCATGAAACACAAAAGGATTACACTGTGAAGCAAAGCAGCTCAGTTAATAGCAACTTCCCCTCTTAGACCTGTAACTAAACAGGTCTCCTAAGTAATAAAGAGTAAAAACCACAGTTATTGCAGAAAAAGGGGGGAAATGAACACCAAAAGTACCAATAAACAACCTGGAATTCAAACAGTTAATGATACAGTTCTTCTTAATTTAGTGTGGTACTTAATGTACAAAGAGAACGATGCTAAAACAGCCAGATTAGTCTTCTGCATGTTTTAGTGAGCTAACTCTGCAACTGGGCTGACTTATGAAAACAAAAATCACACTCACAAGGATTTGGCAGTATTTCAGACTCAACCTATAGACCGAAGACTGAGCTGTGCAATATGTATCTATTGGCTTCACACACGAACACAGGCCACCACAGGTACCAGAGAATTCAGAGCAGAGATGACCATCGTGTTGAGGAGGAATAATATGCTACTTTTCCTCCCCTCAACTGGTACTGCAGGGCTGGCAAGAGCTCAGCT